ATTTTAAAAATATAAAAATAAAAATAAAAAGGGCTGGGGATATAGTATGAAGACTTTAGGTTCAATCCTCAGTACTGGAAAATAAAAAAAAAGGAATGGAGGTTTCCTTTCTGATCAAAACACAAGTAAGTGTTGATTTTTTAAAATAATGAATTGATGAGATTAGAAGTTTAATCCTTCTAAGTGAAACAGTCTGTGTAAAAATCTCAGCAAAAGCATGAATGTAAAAACTCATACTGGACACTTCTCCTCAACTACTTGTAAGACCCAACAATAATTAATATGATTACATTTTGAATCCCAGTAGAGACTGAAAGACTCTTGGAAGCCCCACTGAAATATCATGATTGCCTTCAATTCCCAATCCCAGCCAAGGGTGTGGTTAAGATCCGCTAGAAGTTTCTTACCTTATCTGATCTCATTTTCCTGGAAAAGATATCTATAGTAGTCAGTTTTCTGACACTGTGACAAAATACTTGAGATAATCATCTTTAAAAGGAGGAAAGATTTATTTTAGCTCATGATTTCAGAGGCTTCAGTCCACGATTACTCAGCCCCACCACTGTCAGCCTATGGCAAAACACGGTAGGGAACAGCTGGTAGGGCAAAGCTCCTCTTGTTACGGTGACAGGGAAGTGAAAGAGAAAGAAGAGAGGAGCCACATGGGTCCCAATATATCCTGCAAGAACACACCCAGAGGCCTATTCCTCCTACTGGGCTCTACTTCCTGCAGTTTCTACGACCTCCCAAAAGCAGCACAGGCTGACTACCAGGCTTTCAACACATGAGATTTAGAGAACCTTTGAGGTCCAGACCACAACAGCTTCTGCATCCCAGCATTTCATCTACCTGACCAGCACAGTCTCAACTTCACCAGTAGAAACGGATTCCTTTGAGCTAAGTATTGTCTTCTATTAAGTCACAAATCTTTTCTAAAAATGTGTCTTACATGACCATATAATAGTACCATGTCATCATTTTTTAATTGCTCAAATTGTTTTCAATTATCATGGTCCTGAAGGAATGCAACAGGGCCCTGTTCTCCAAACATTTTTAATTATGCATCCTTATCATGAAATATTTTGAGCTGTGTTCTCTGTATGTGTATATCTATGGGAGTTATGGTCAATTCATACATTAGTTAAACATATATTTTCTATTTTGAGATTGAAACTCACTATCAATTTTTATTTTGACTCACGTTGCTTTGTTTTTCTGCTCACATCTCTGAATCATTTGACCTGAGTCAAACTGAGTAGGTCCTATACAAACTCCTTGGGACTACCCATGTTTCAGGACATTTGAACAGATAATTGATTATCTCTAATCCAAAAATCTGAAATCTGAAATTTTTGAGGGCTAGGTCAGCATGAAAAAAAGTTCTGCTCAAATTTTGGAGCATTTCCAATTGCAGATTTGGGGGTTTAATGATACTCAATGTGTATTTACAAACATCAGTAGAACTTGTTACCTGAATCACAGTGGCTTTATATGTGATGATGTCGTGGGTGTTTTTGAGTCATGGAGGAGGGTGATAAAGAACATTCTAGTTTCAATTTCCTAGCATTTATTACTTAGATGTTTATCTCTTGAATTTTGTCATTTCACATTTCATTATTCTTTTTTGCTTTCTTTTTCTTGTTCCTGGGTTAGTGGAGGGCAGTGGTAGACAGCAGAGCCAGTAGCAGAGCCACCGTCGCTGAGATAAGGGTGAAACTGAAGGCAAAACTTTGTGTCTTGGGGCTGGGGATTTAGCTCAGCAGCACAGCGCCTGCCTGGCAAGTGTGACATCGTGAGTTCAATTCCCGGTACCAGAAAAACAAAACAAAACAAAACAAAAACCTTTGGATCTGGTTTGTTTGTCTGTTTTTTAAATGAGCCAATTTACTTGCAATTTTCTGGCACTGGTTACCAAACTTCATTTTTCATAAGAATCACTTGTGAATCTCACTCAAAAACAGGTTTTTTGATCCCACTCCTCAAGGTTCTGCTTCATTTTGTCTGAGTAAGGGTCAAGAATCAGCATTTGTAATAAAACTTTTACCCCCTTACCCAACCCAGGACATCCAAGACCAAGCTGTGCTCTTATCCCTAGAATGATAGGAGGATTGAGAAACTTTGATAACTAAAGCAACTTCAGCACTGGGCAAAGTAATCCAGACTTTATGACATGGTAATCCCTGCTCAGAAGCATGGCCTTTGTCACACAGTTGGCAGGGATAAATGGGGCAATGAAGGGAAAGTGTATACAAGTACGGGTGTGGGTGTGGGTGAAAATACAACATGTTTCCGTTTGTGAAGCCACACCTAAAACTGATTTTTCTTTCCTCTCTCAAAAATGAAGCCTGTTTTGAATATATCCATTTTAGTAAACAAGATGATCTTTTAGAAATTACATTATTTAAATCTTACACCACTAAAGAATTATTTCTAATTTATATCTCATTAGTAGATATGCTTTTTTTTTTTTTTTTTTTTTTTGCCTTCTCCAAAATGAATTGTTTCATCTCTCTATCTGGTTAAAAATGAGACTCAGGTCAAGTATGAATCTAAGTCCCAAGACAAACTTGGGCCACTGAAAGAAAAATACAAGTACCATGATCCAAGTATACACTGTACTACTTGCTATAGATGAGTTTCTCAGTTGTGTTTGTGGGGAGGTGTAATTTAGTTTCTAGAAAGCTCATAAGGCCCAACAAATAGACCATCAGTGAACCTTCTCTCAGACCCTAAAAATACCCAGACCTGCCTGTACCCCAGTATGAACACAGGATTCTAAAGGTAGGACTTCAGATATAGTCATTGATAAAGGCAATGTTAGTTGAAATAGAAATAAAATATTTCAGGTATGGATTCTCCAGAGTTTTGTTGCAATGTTCTACCTTTTATCGTTTCCAGTTCTTTTGAGAAATGATCGTCTATGGCCATATCACCCTAAACGCGCCCGATCTCGTCTGATCTCGGAAGCTAAGTAGGGTCGGGCCTCGTTAGTAGTTGGATGGAAGAAATGATCAAAAGTGAAATGATCTTGTAAAATCAATAAGGATAACCGGTCAGAAAATTAGCTGTCTTTCTCTTTGCTCATAGGAATTCATTGTCAAGCTACAGTTAGTATGGTGAGCGTGTTTCCACTACTCATGTTTTATACGTCTAATACTGTGTTCTGTTGTGCCCTGTGGTCACTTTAAAATGCTGCCTACAGCCTGTGCCACAAAGGCTCAGTGGCAGCAGGGCTCGAGAAGTTTCTATGAGTTAACAAAGAAGGGCTTTGTTGTCTCTCCCTTTCTACTAATGCAAATCTATTGTTCATTTCCTGAAATCTCTTTTATCCTCAGGGAACAGTATCCTGGAGATTATTCGCGACCAAACCCATGGGGTTTCTGACCCACGTTCTCCGAGATTTGCTATATTGGCTCAATAGGAAGGTTTCACAGAAAGTTACTCCTAAAGAAATCACAGTACTGATGATTTACATTCAGGTTTTCTCCTACTGCCACTGGCCGCTTTCCCATCTCCCATGCCACCCACTTCCATTTGGGGCTATTGTACATCCCCATCAAAACTCACACTCCCTCTCCCGTGCACCCCTAGTATGGTCTTCAATGCTTTCTAGGTACCTGTCAGGAAATTTTATCCCCTGGTGGTTGAAGTATCTAAAGAACTGTGATGCATGGAGCACAGAGATGTCAGGCTTGACTCAATGGCAAGATAGAGCAGCCAGTGATTTCCTCATTAGCCTGTGGGGTGTGTGTGCGTGGGTTTTCTCTCCCTCTACTCCACCCACCACGCCCAGCTGGATCACACACCACTGAAAGACTAAGCACTGCCACCTGTAAAATATGAGAGCTATGCAGACTGGGATAAACTGCGAATCTCTGAGCTTTATTTTTTTCTCAGGGGATACAGATTTTTCCTGATTGTAAAGAAAAAATGTATTATAGTTGGACTTCTAGGCTTCAAAAGGAAGAAAGATGGGGAAACACTCTCTTTCTGAATTTTAAGGCATCCAGTTTCCCAGGGATGATTCATCCCCTGTTGCAGAGGCTGATGCCTCAGGACTGTGCTTATCTGGCTGGGCCAGGTGGGTGTGGCCCTTATGGGTGTGCTCCACAGCTACGGGAAGCAGGACACACCTGGGCTGGCTTTGATCGGTGTCTCCTTGGATTGCTGCGGCCTAGGTCTTCCACAGCTGTCAGTAAGCAGCTGAGCCTGCTCAGCCAGCTGGATCTGACCAGGACTTTCTGGTAGCATCACCCCCATACTGACAGGCTCATTTACTAGTGACTTTAACACCTGACAGTCCGGGAAAATTGAGGCTGCACTAGCGAAGCAGTGCCCAGGCAAGTGACGGGAAGGGCTTGGAAAGTTCACCACGCTGCCACCCACAGCTCTGCCCCGCAGTTTCCTTCGGTGCGCGGCCCCATCTGACATGGCTGGTGCAGAGAGGAACCAGAAATACCGGAAACAGAGGGAAGCCCTTGGGGTCAAAAGACGCTTTGCAGTGCTTAAATTAGGGGTAGAAAAAAAAGAGCAGGAAGGGGAGGTGAAAAGGCCTTCTGCTGTTGGGTCCTTACTTATCTGGCCAGGAGAAACGTTCCCCAGAACGCATTGACCATCTTTGACCAAAACTGTTCATGGCATTACAACTGTTCACGTGACTTCACAGGAGAACCGTATTTGAGCGCTTTATGGCACACGGAGAACTGTGAAGTGTAGAAAAATCACCACGGTGCATCTCCCTGCGCATCACCTCAAAACATTTCCCCTTTCTGCAATGACAGCCTGGAAGTCGCCTGGGCCATCCCAGTCTCCTACCAGCGAAAAAGCATATAGCTGGAGACCGAGCGCAACTTCCCCAGCACAGGTTTTCCGGTCCACGTCACGTGTCCTGAGACACTCTGTCTGCGAGATCAGTGCTCTCTGGGAAGCCCCGTGGCCCCTCTCCTGGTCACAGAGCCACCGCTCCTTCCCAGCCTGCAGTCAGGCAGGGAGACACTCACCTGCAAGCTATTTCCCTTGGGACTTGGCCTCAGCGGCTGGGGGTTCCTTGGAGCGATCTCTCCTGCGCATCGTCATCATGACTGCCAAGGTCTCCCTCGAGGGCTGGTAGTAATTCGTTTCGCTAGTGGAACATAAAGTGGCTGCGGTTTGCAGAACCTTTTGGCTGCTGAGAAGGCCTACAAAGGTGAGCAGACAGCATACCTGACTGATGAGGGCTGCGGCCAGACTGCCGGGAAGCGTGGGCGTGGTCACTGGCAAGAGCCGCTTTCTTTTTTCTTTGCTTTTTCTTGTGAGTGGGAGTTCAGAGGCAACTCCCTCCAGAGCTGGAACGTCCAGGAACTGGGGAATGCAAAGGGGATGTGTGAGTGTGTGACTGTGCTTTTGCACACTTACGGCCATGGGTGTGTGCAAATACAACACCAAGGTTCTCCTGAGAAGTTTAGAACTGGTTTCCCTTTAATGAAACTTCCACTGTACAAGAGGTTACAAGAGCTTTAGGATTTTCTTCCAGGAAGCAACATGAGTTAAAAAGTGTGTAGAACAACCAAATTGGCTTCATTCTTTTTTTTTTTTTTTTTTTTTTTTTTTTTTTTTTAGGCACTGGTATCCTCTACCTCCCCCAAACAAAATCTTATGCCCTAGTCCCAAATTATAAATGAGATCAAAGCAGAGCTCCTCTGGTTGGGGTGTGCATTTACCCAAAGAGCCAAACCCTTGATTGACTCTTTCTATGGTGAAGAAGATTCCCCAAGTCCTCAGAGCAAAAATGGAACCAATCTTTGGAAGAATTGGAAGAGACCTAGCTTTCAGGTCAGAGAGGGCTTCGTTTAGAGAGCAGTGACGACACTGGCCATTCACTAATATATCTGTACCTCAGTTTCCCCACCAGTAAAATGGAAGTAATAACACTTGTGCTTTAGGAGAAGAGGAAATACACCAAAGGAGTGTAGAGTTTTTACCAGACCAGGAGAAAAAATGTAAATGACCCAAGATTTCTTTTTGCTCAAAAGTTTTACGGCTATTACAGTCCTACTTTTCCAATAGCATGTGAGTACTTTATTTATTATATTCACTCTACAAACAAGACAATAAATAGACAACTCACCAAATCACAGAGAACATTTGTAAATCATCTTCTGATAAGGGCTTTCTATCCAGCATAAGTAAAACTCTCTTACAATTCAACAACAAAAGACAAAATAGGCAAAGAAGGTGGGAAGTCATTTCTCCAAAGAAGATGTACAAATGTTCAACAAAGCAACAGTCATTTCGGTAGAAATGCAAATCAAACCCACAGTGAGACACATCCGCATTGCCTAGGATGACGATAATAATAATACAGAAACCAGCAAGTGTTGGTGCATATGTGGAAAATTTGGAACTTTCATACATTGCTAAAGGTAAGGTAAAATCGTATAGCCTCTATGGAAAACAGTTTGGTCCTTTATTAATAAGTTGACATAGAATTACTATATGACTCAACAATTCCCCTCCCAGGTATATACCTAAAAGAACTAAAAACATATTATTAAAAACGGGTACACAAATGTTCATAATGGCTTTATTCACAAAATCTAAATGGCAGAAACAATCCAAGTGCCCGTTAAAAAAATGAATGGACAAATAAAATAAGGTATCTACATAGATACACTGGGAAGAGATCAGGTTGATGTTTGTCAGCGGCTGGAGCAAGGTAGGAATTGAGAATGACTCTTCGTGGGTACAGTTTTCTTTTAGGTGATGAAAACCTTCTGGAACTAGGTGGTGGTGGTGATGGTTGAACAGTATCATGGGTGCACTTAATGCCACTGACACCTACTTTTAAATGCTTACAATGTGTCTTTATGGTATGTATATTTTGGCATACTACCGAAGGCAAATATCTGCCCAGCTAAAATATAGCCTGTGCACTTTCTAAAGTGATTTTGAAGGCTTCATTCTCCTTTTTTCTTTGACCTTTTTACATGGACAACAAAACAGCCCTGGAGTGCCAGGACCTTTGTGTTAATGGAGTCTCAGCCTTGTTCTGTGGCTCACTTTCCTCCCTAAAGCTGAACAGAATTGGCCCGCTCTTCTCTCAAAGGAGAACTTAAAAGGAAACCCTCAGGAGCCCAGCCAAGAGCCTACGGGGCCCCAGCAGGCTCCCAGCCTGTTGCTGTGGCCCTGGCTCCTCCCGGTTGGGGCATCTGCCCACATCTCATGCCTGGGCTTGCCCTGTGATCTTGTGAAGCCCAGAACCTGCTCTTTCTCCCATTCTTCTCCTCAGAGGAGGGCATGTTGAGAACTGTGGTCTCAGGGATACGTGCAATTGTGAACGTGACCCAGCTCTTGGAATTCCAGGCTTTGGTATTTTCCAGGTGGAGTTCTGCCCAGATAACACCTTTCTGGCCATTTTTGCTTTTGCTTTTATTTTTAGCTGAGGGAGGGGCAGTCCCCTCTCACCTCTCCTGTACCCTTTGTACAGATTTCATCCGAGAAATCTTGAAGTTCCTTACTTCCATTTCTTTCTGTCTTGTCCCTATGGGGAATGATCATTCTTCCCTATAGCAAACTAGAAAAGCAAAACTTGCTGGGGGAAGCCAGCTCACTTCAGCCATGCAGGGGATCCCCGCTGGGGAGGAAGCACCCGACCACCCACCTGCATGACCTCTCCTCACCTCTGCCTGTTGCACATAAATACTTGTTCTGTTCTGAGGCACCTCCAGGGTCCTATACTCTTAAATAGGGAATTCACTTCATCTTGCATTCTGTCTTCAGCTACTTTCTACTTTATCATTCAACAGCCTAAATTTAGTTTAGCACCCCAGCTTCCCAGTGCAGATTTCCAATGCGCCACCAGAAGCAGAAGTATGAGTAGGAGGCATTGGAGATGGATGGGAGGTGCCCGTAAGGAACAAGGAGGAAGTGCGGCCTCCGTAGTAGGAGAGCTGGGTGATGGTATTCCCAGGCTGCCCTTCGACACATCACAGACTCTTGTACTACAGGAGCCCTCCAAGCAACTGAAGGGAGGAACAGAGCTGCCTGCAATGAAATCACTAATCAGTCCTTTCCTTCACGCAGCTATTCAGGAGTATGATCTGTTGGCACAATGCGCAGTACTTGTTAACCACTCCAAGGAAGGAAAGAACCACTCGTTCTGATTAGCTGTCAGAGCTAATTTTAAGCCATGTTATTATATGGTAAAGAGGAAAAAGGTTTTTTCCCCTCCGTCTATGTCATACAAAAGCTGCCTGGAATTACCAGTGTGAGCCGTTTCATTCCCCCCTGCAAGTGTTAATTAAATGTGATATTTTAAAATATACACTCCTCTCTACAGGTAGAACAAACTGAGCCCTTTGTAAACTCCTCAGTGCCCACTGGTTTCCCCTCAGAGCTCTGCCTCATTGCCTTGTACCTCCTATTCGCCTGTTGGGCCACAACTCCAGCAGAAATAAGTATAGAGTAATTATTTCTGCCAGGGAAATGCTCCTCCTAAAGGAGGTTGGCCTGATTTGACGGTATGTGTGTACTTGAAAGAAAGGCATAATATCAGGCCTCCTTTGTTTTCCCTCTTTTAATACCCACTGGTTCCCCAAGATGTCACTGGCAAACATGACACCATTTGCTTTCATTCCCTTTACAAATATTTTCCACTCAAGCCGTATTTCTTACTCATAACTGCTGAGTGTCTCACTATGGAGAGCAACTGTTCTAAACTAGTAAACTGAACAAACTAAGCCGGTGTGGTTTTTGTTTAGGAAATATTTACTAAGCTTTTGGTCTGAAACTCTTCAAAATCTGAAGCAGCTTGGAGTCTCTTGGATTCTTGAAGGCAGTTGGAGTGGTAATTATGTGCACGTAAGGTAGAATCTGATAGTGAAATGAGGGGACCTGGAAACTGCAGCTTATCTGTCTGCCATGATTCTTCCAATCACATAATTATCCACTCAACAAATAATTGCCAAAAGCCTACTATGTGCTTGGTGGGCAAGTTGGGACAATCAAGGGTGACAATTCAACCCCAGGAGAGCGCTTATTACGATGAACTTCTGCAAGAACTGAGTACTCTGTAACATGATCTGGAGATTTTATTGGATTAAAAAAAAATGTGATTTAGCCATTGGCATACAATAATCCCCCTTGCCTGCTTCAGCTTATCCCCAGGACATATGTGAATCCCTGAAACCACAGATCCTACCAACTCAATACATACTTTTTCCCCCTATATACATAGACTTCCACTTTTCACTTAAGGGAAGTGTTTAAATATAGCTTTTTTTTGACATACCTGAATTTCTACCACCACTGCTCTTCTACTTTTAAAGCCATTATTAATTAAAATAAGATTTAATTGAATTTAAGTGCTGCTACACTATGACAAGTCAATCTGATAACTGGCATGGTTACTAAGTAACTAATGGATAGTAAGGTATACAATAGGGATACATTGGACAAAGGGATAATTTATGTCCCAAGTGAGACAGAATAGGACAGTATGAGATTTAATCATGTTACAATTTAAAACTTATGAGTTGTCAGAGATTTCCCAGTTAATATTTCAGATCTCAACTGACCACAAGTAAATGAAGTCCAGAAAGTGAAAATGTGGATAAGGAAGGACTACTCCCATATAAATTTGATTCATTTAAACATTTTTACATATATCTTATGATGAGTATTATATCTTACAATGAGTATTCTTCCAAGATAGGACTGACGTGTTCCATAGGCTTGTGACCACCTTGAGATTTGGTCCTTTGACTAAAACCTCCAACCCAATATTTTCACTTGGATTACATGGTCACTTGTGGTGGTCCAGACTTGACCAAGGGCAGATTTTGGAGAGGATTATTTTTATATTGACCTAGAGGATATTTGTGGAATACCTAGAGACTCATGGTGCAGAGTCCAAATGATGAGATGGAGGCTGGGGATTTAGCTCAGCGGCACATCACCTGCCTGGCAAGCTCAAGGTCATGAGTTTGATTTCTGGTACCGGAAAAAAACCAAAAAAAAAAAAAAAAAAAAAATCCAAATGATGAGATGAATTATCAACAGTGAAATGTATTGATAAAATGGCCAAGTTGGATCAGACCAGAAAAAAAACTGTGGTTAGAGGTATCATATTTGTTTAAAAAAGAGAAAAAGGTAAAATAATACACATGGACCTCAGATGTGTGTACAGCTGACTAACCTAATTAAAGATGTATAACAGAGAAAGATTCCATTAAAAATTATTAAGTATTTGACTCCTAA